AGGTTCATAGATCTTACATTCCAGGTTCCTATGCAGTATTTTTCTTTGCAGCATCGGACTTTCCTTTCACTTCTAGGCACGTCCACAGCTGAGCATCCTTTCAGCTTTGGCCCAACCACTTCATTAGCTCTGGAGCGATTTGTCCTTGTCCTCCACTCTTCCTCAGTACCATGCCAGACACCATCCGGCCTGAGGGGCTCATCTTCCATCATCATATCTTTTAGCCTTTTCTTTCTGTCCATGGAGTTTTCTTGGCAAAGATACTGGAGCAGCTTGCCAATTCCTACTCCAGGTGGATCACGTTTAGTCAGAACTCTCCACTATGTCCTGTCCGTCTTGGGTGTCCCAGCACGGCATAGCCCATAACTTCTCTAGATTACTCAAGCCCCCCCCCCTTCACCGCGACAAGGCAGCAATCCGTGAAGGGGTCTACTTCATTTGGTGGGGATGAAATCTAAAGAATTAAGCGAAAGATGGCATTTTCTCAAGTCAAAATTAAATAATACATTTTGACTGGAGACTCCATTTTTTTGGTTGTTTTTTGTTTTTAGGCCAATTGGAGAAGTTTTTCTCCATTTTTGATTTTCCAAAAGGTCTGGATACAATGTTCCAGAATCCCTGGCTTTTAACCAAGGTGGTTGGAGATTCTTAGAGAGGAAGTCCTGTACAGCTAGAGTTTAAAAAAAGCACTGAACTGCAGGATAAGAGATGGGCACGAAGCGTCAAACTGGTGGTTCATGATGGTTTGTAGTTCGTGGGTACCTCCAAACCATGAACTATAACAAATGTCCCCCAAAAAACAAACTGTCCCCAGTTCATTGTTCAGGGTTATGCTGAGGGGGTGACCACCTCCTCTTGTCCCCATCATCTCCCTCCCTTGCCTTGAAGTTACTGAGGCTGCCTCCACCATCTTGGTAAGTAGCAGGCCCAGATCCTTGCACAGCAGGCTGGGCCTGCTGCCTATGTGCCTGCTAAATGGTCAGCTAAGTGGTGGGGCAGTAGTGTGTATCCCATTTTGCTAAAGCAAAACAAAGCAGCAAGGGAGAAAAAGTTTGGCACTCTGCTTTGTTTCAGCAAAACAGGATCCTTGATCTGAACCATCAACCAAACCATGAACCAGCCCAGTTTATGTTTGTTTTTTTCTGGCACATGCTTCAGTTCATGTCCATCTCTATACAGGACGAGTAGAAAGATGGGCGAGACTTCTTTTCTGGACTCCAGTAATATTTACACTGGGAGTTGTAGTCTGTCCTCCACTGTCATGGAAATGGAAGAGGAGATACAACTTCAACAAGCAGACCATGGAATCGAAATGGGGAGGAGGCAAGGTAAACTGCATTTTTCTCCATTCAAAATCCAGATTCTTATCCACTCTGGTTCATTACCATCAAAGTGCCCATAATGGATTGGCAGCATATTTGTGTCTGTCAAATTGTGTTTTTTTTTACTGACAGACAGATGATGATAGAAACTTAATGACATCACATTGTTGCATATTATGTCTGCAATTGGGAAACGTAATTACTCAGTCTGCTTTGCAAGTAAATGTTTAGTCTGGAAGGGCTGACACCCAATTTATTAATTATCACAGTCAAGTTCCAGTCTAATCACTGAGTATCCAATCTGGTGGCAATCAACCAAGCAAGGGATCTTGGCATTGCATATGAAAACTTTGGCCCAGTGTGCCACGGTTATGAAAACTGCTCCCCAGCTTCACTTCCTAGAAGATCCATTTTTGTTCCTATTCAGCATTGGTTAGCCCTCATCTAGATTACTGTGTCCAGTTCTGGACACCACACTTTA